AGGGGTGCCTGGAGCCTTACATAGAAACACACCTATCTGTACTGGGTTCTCCCTATACTGTGCATATGTCTGTGCTAAAGTTTGGTTTATAAATGATGCACATAAGAGACGACCATTTAAGTTAAGTACACTCAATCTGTGTCTATACAGATAGGCATGGATACCACTATCTACAGCTGCTGGGGATGAACCCAGGGAGGGCCAAGCTGTACCCAGCCCTTTTATAGCAGTTTTTAAATTTTGACACAGGGTTGTATGCCCCTGCTAGCCTCAAACTTTCCATGCTCCTGCCTCAGCCTCCTGATTGTCGTCTTTTAAGTGGAACTGCACTCTAAAATAGGAGTACAGCACATGTGTGTGTCTTTGTTGTGTGCTTTGAATATTTTGTAAAGTATTTTGAATAGTATCATTTTTCCTTTTGGTTTAAGCAGTGTTTTGCCCAAAAAAAGTGATGGGCTTGCCACTTAATCAAAGGATTAAAGATTTATTTATTTTTATTTATTTTTTTGAAAAAGTAATCTGTTTATTTATTTGTGTGTGTGTGTGTGTGTGTGTGTGTGTGTGTGGCCAGCTCAGCCCACCAGGGGGCTGGCTGGCTGGCATGTGGTACTGGGGGATTGAACCGCGGTCCCTGTGCTTTGCCAAGCTTGTTCTAAGTAGGTGCTTTAGACCCCTGAGCCATCTTACCAGCCCCTGGATCAAAAATTTAAAATGAAAAAATAAAAATAGGAATGTAACTCAGCAGCATAGCATGTACCTAGCATCTTTGAAGCCCTGGGTTGCATCCCCAGCTCCTCAAAATAAGTAAATAAAATAATATAGGGTTCAATACAATAGGTCCCAACATTGCTGAAGTTAGAGACCCATTGCAAAGACACTGGAAAGTTGCTCTCTCCTCTTTCAGTTACACTTGGGAAGTAAGATTAATTGTGAGGCTCCACACTCTGTCTTTCTGGGTTGTGTCTCTGACCTTGGTCCAAAGCGCAGGCAGCCTCTAGGCATCGGGGCTCTGAGGCATTCAGACTCTGAGGCTGAGGAACCCAGAGGGGAAGGGCCGGGGAGGGGAAGGGCCAGTACAGTGGTGGGGGTGAGACTGGGGGAAAGGATCTCAAGGGCCTTGACTGCTGGCCTCAGTGCTGCCACCCAGGACCCCTCTTCCTGGTGCCCCTAGGGACAGCAGCAGCAGAGCAGGGGATGCCCAGGCTGAAGCCCAGTGTGCAGGACCCTCCAGAGCACCCAGGCCACAGGCTCCAGACTTGCTGCAAAGCCCCAGGTGCCCATCCTGTGCTACGAGGCCACCGGTGCCTGCAGGCCTGGCCGTGTCCCTCCCACTTGGGAAATGAAGGAGGGCTCCTGCCATGGGCTCCGTTACAGTATTTGCCAGGGGCTGCCCTGCGGGATTGGGCCCATTCCGGATCCTCTTTCCCAGTGCCCTGTCCCCAGGCGATTGCTACCTCCCCTGGCCTTGCCCCAGCCTCCTGGCACCCTTTCCTGGACCTGAACTGGGAGGAGGTAGAAGATGCGAGGAACCTAAGCAATATCTCAGGGTTCCAGTTTCTCTGAAATATCCTCTTCTTTGTGGGAAGGGCGGGGAGGGAAATGTCCGTCCCAGCTTTGAGGATAAAACCTCCCTCCAAAGGCCGGACAGCTTGTTTAATGATGGCCGTGTGTCAGGTGAACAGAGCACGGCCCTCGTGCCGTGGCCTGGCTGGCGTTCTTCGGTGCTGCCAGGAACTCGGAGCAGCAGGGAGGAGGGCGGGTGGTGTGTGCGAGCCCAGCCAAGGCGCGGGGCAGCTGCACTCCGCCTTCAACACGCTCCCACTCCCGCTTCGTTCACTTGTTTGTTGCCACACTGGGGTGTAACCAGGGCCTTCGCACAAGCTACATCCCAGCCTTTTTACAGGTTTTTTTTTTTTTTTGAGGCAGGGTCTCACTATATCACTAAGTTTTCCAGTCTGGGCTCAAGCTTTTAAAAAATTATTTATTTGAACGCTGGGGTCACAGGTGTGCACCACTGCACCTGGCTTCTTTCCCAGTGTTTGGTTGACTAAAAGCAGCTGCTAATTTTTTGATGAGATGAAAGCCCAATGGCGGTCGAAAACTCCAGGCGTGGGAAGTGCCTTGAATACCCTGCTGTGCACGAGGCGGCTCCTTCCCTTATGAGGCGGCGAAGGACAGGACCTGCCGCCCGACAGGAGTATCACCGTGCACACCGCTAGCCAGGGAATAGCTCTCAGTTCAAAGTTTCCTTTACTCAGTGTGTATTGCTTTCACATTTTGCATCATCTTAAAGTTGAAAAATTGTAAGTCAAACTGCTGTAAGTTGGAGACCATCTTAAGGGAAACTAGATGTTTAACAGTAAGAAATCTGAGTATTCTGGCGATAACTGGTCTTAGTGCCAGTGAACTCAGGGCTGGGAGGTGACCCCACATGTGAAAGGCCTGCTGTGTGGAGGGAGCTGGCTGCGACACAGCCCGCCCTGCACAGCCTGGAGCCTGGAGCCCACCGTGGGAATCTTTACACCAGGGAGCCTAGGGGCACGCAAAACGGGCTGCTCTTGGAGCCCGTGTGAAACATTCACCACCCTAAGCTCTGGTGCACAGGAGGCCCTCAGAGACCCAGGAAATGACCCATGAATGAGCTGCCACTCCTGAGGAGGGCAAGGAGCTCAGCTGGGTGGGAACTGCCCGAGGAGTGATGTTGGGGTGGCCCAACCTCTGCACTCTGTGCTTGGGAGCACCAGCCAAGGAGCATACCTAGTGGGGCTGGGGGCGACAAGGGTCACCCTGGCCTAAGGGTGGCGGTGCCAGCCCCAATCTGCAACACTCACAAGGGGCCAGCCATTTCCAGGTTGGGGCCCCAGCCTTCCTGCCTAGGCCTGCTCCCAGGCAGTGGTTCCGTTTAAGCAGACCCAGTCCTTTCCTGCGGTTGGCAGCCAGGAACCTGTGGTCAGGTCAGGTCAGCCCAGAGGCAGATGCCACTGTGGGATTAGATGTGGGACAGCGCTGCCCCGGAAGAGGTTGGGGTACAGGAAGCCAGTGCTGGGGGAGTGGGCAGGAGGCTGGCAGTCACCAGGGGCCCTCTGAATACCTCCAAGAGAGGAAAAGAGAAACACCATGTGGTGCCGGGGCAAAGCCTGGCTGGGGGTGCACAGAGGCACCGGCAAGGAAGCTTGCTGGACTTGCAATCCAGGAGCCCTGAGGCCCTTGAGGTTTCACCACCCACTTCTCTCAAGCCGCCAGTCCCAATGCTCCCCCTCCTCAAGAGATCTGCCCACATACATCTTAGCCTCACCCTTAAATGTGTAGTCTCCAGCAATGACCAAAATGTAGAGAACTGAGGTACAGCCATGAAGCAAGGAGAGCTGCTTTGTGCTCAGCACCTAACAGGAGCTTGAGGAAGCCAGTGTTTCCCTCTCCACCACCCTCAGTGTGACACTAATGGGAGCAGGTTGTGGCATAAGGAGGTGACATACACCAAGTCTAAAGTACCACATCAGATGGGACCTCTTGGAGTGTGCACTTGATGAGCACAGGGGTGATCTGCCATGAGGTATGCACGTCTGTCCCCACTTCCTCCTTGTCACCAGGTTCCCAGCTTTCTAAGCCAAGGGGGCTGCCCCCCAGAGACCCTGACTCCATGATGGAAGGCTCTGAGTGCTGCTCATGTGGGCAGAGTGCCAACATCTAGGGAGTTGGCAGCAGGAGGAATCTTTTTTTCTGAGCTACTCTGTTCTTGCAGGTGCTGGTCACCATGCTTTGGCGGCGTCTGCCTGGGGCAGCCCGGCAGTACAAGGCAGCAGAGATGCTCTGGCCTGAGCCAGGACCCTGGAACTCAGCTGAGGGCCAAGGTGGCTGTTATTCCGGCGTGCACTTCTCTGCCTTCCAGGTCTCTGCGCAGCTGGGGTAGGAGGGAGAGATCGTGGCTGTGGGCTCTGAGAAGTGATCAGAAAACCCATCAGGAGGCCACACGCCTTGGGCCCCCATGCCAGCACCCTGCAGCAGAAGCATTTTCCTCCCACTTTGCAGAGACCTTTGACCAAGCTCAGAAAGGTCCCAGCTTCGGGGTGGGCAGGGAGTAGGGCTCTCCCAGTGGAAGAATCTGTTTTCCTTTTTTAGACGGGCTCTGGGCAATTCCATTCTTGCTTTCTCTGCCAAGCTTTATCTGTGCTTAAGAATTCAGTGCTCCCAGGGGCCCTGAAACCAGCTGCTGCCCTCCCCTCTACACTGCTAGGTAAAGCCAGCAGGCTGGAGAGCTCCCTTCAGTGAGACATTTCTCTGAGCTCAGGGCCGGTGACTTTTCCGTGCCCACTTGATGCCAGGGGAGAAGCAACTCAGGCCAGGGCCAGTGAGGGACCAAAGGCAGAAGATGAGAGGAAAGGCCTGGCTGTGTGATCTCCGGCTCCTGCTCCTAGAAGGGGTGAATTTTAACTTCAGAAAAGGGATGCCAGCCAAGGAAGGAAGGAAGGAGTGCCTTGGCTGAGAGAAACAGGACAACTAGGATCACGATTGATCTGTCTTGCTGCCAGCGGGTGTGGGCACAGGCCGTGGGGGTGCAGGTCTAACCCTGTGGGAACTCGGCAGTGTGCTGCACCTCGGAAATACACGGGGCAGGGACAGACACCGAGGAGCAGGGGTGCACCAGCTCTGCCTGGGGGAGCTGCGGGCCAGGCTTCCAGAAGGTGCAAGTTGACCCAGGGTTGGAGGAATGAGTAGGAGTTAGGATGCCCCGCACTGGGCGGTGGGAACGGCTGGAGGGGACGCGGCCGGTCTGCGGACAGACAGCAGTGCTTGCAGGAGGTCCTGACACGTTTCCGCTCAGACAAGACCCGAACCAGGAGAGCACGGGTGGAGGCTAAGCCAAGTGCAAGGCTGGGGTGGGGTTGTGGAGGCGCGGGAGGGCGTGGAGGGTCAGCATGGGGCCGCCCTGCGGGGGCGCTGCCGGCCCCCAAGATTGGGTCGGTTGGGCCGGTGGAGGAGGACGGGGCGGGGAGAAAAGCCCAGCCCCTGGGCAGGTGGCTGGGGTGACCTCGGCCCGGCTGCGCGCTCTCGGCACAGCGTTCCCGGCAGCGGCGCAGGCGGACGCAGGTAGGCAGCGAGGGCCGGGCCGGGCCGGGCCGGGGTCCCCGAAAACCCGTTTGTGCGTCCTCTGCATCGCCCCAGTCGGCGGGTGCAGGTCACCGCTGAGGAGACGCCCTGGGCCCTGGGGCGCGGTCCGACGGGTCGCGGGCACCGGCCGGGGCGAGCTGGGGGGCTCCGAGCGCGGGCCGGGTCGCG